ACTAAATAATTACCCTTTGTGTCCACCATTTTGGTATTTGGACATTTGCTGATCATCGCGTACAGTGCACTAGTGCAGTTCATCGTTTGATCGTCATTACTTATAGTTTAACGGACCTCAAACTTACGTAAGTACAACATAATTATTCAATTATTTTATTTTATTATTGTTTTTACATGTTCCCATCATTTTTATTACTATTATAAATATTCAGTACCTGATCAATCAAAATCTGTTTTTTTTACAAAATTATTATCTCATTCCTTTATATATGAAATAGCAAAATGATTTAATTTTAAAGTCTAATAAAAAACTAAGCCCCTAATTTAAATGTAACATAATATATGTTTAATTTAAAACAATTTTTTATTTTACCAAATCAGTGATTTATTTTTTCATGATTTTGATCTATTATGTGATGTGTCACAATTACATCGGACTATTTAAAATTTAAATAGTAATTATTATTAAGAGGGTGTCAGCGTACTGTTTATTATTTCTTTCTCATTGGCCCAAGCGGGCCAATTATAATAGATATATGCATTTATGTAGAATCGTATTTTTTCGTTTTTTAGTAATTTTTTAGAGTAAAATCACTAATTACAATAATGATTGACAAAAATATTTTTGTGGATACCTATGATATATCGATTTGTCTGAGTATTATCTTTTTTTTTTATTTTTTATTTTTTAAAAGAAATATACCATCTGTACCCAGAGACACAATAAGGATATGGGCTACTTTACAAAAAGGCGTGAATGAGTTGTTGGAAGAAGCCACCCAGTAGTGACACTTCCTAAAGTATTATCTTAAAACAATTTAAACACCGTTTAAATGTACAAAAAAAAAAAATGTACCTCCCTATATTTCTTTTTTTATTAAAAACAAGAAAGTTAATTTTAAAATGTCAAAAAGTAAATGGTAATTTTATTCTTATTGGGTTCTATCACTGGATAACCTCCCTCCTCATGTTATCATTATTGTATATTATTATTATTTTTGATTTTATTCACTAATTGACTTAAATAATGCGGTATTATAATAATATGTCTTATTAGTATAGCATACCTAGGTACATTGTAAATAAAAATGTATGCAAGTTATAAAATAAATATTTAACACTAATCAAACAATGTTTTAATTGGTACAATTAATTTTGTATAAATAGGTATCTACATTTTATAATATATTAATATATAATATCTATGTAATAAAATAATTATAAATGTTTAGATCAATTAGATATTTAATATTTAAACTAAATTATATCCACCTAATTTATTTCATAAAGGTATCATAAAATAATTAAAGTACCAAGTAGACAAAAATTACTAATTAATATATTAGGTACAAATAAAACTGGTCCAATATTAATGTAATTTATTTTATTTTATAACAATACATATTGATAAATGTTTTAAATTATACACTATAATAATATTGTAGTAGTATTTCTTAAATTTTAATACTCCTACTACAAAAATTTAATTAGGTACCAAGTAGTTTTGTTCAAAATAGATAAAAGCATACATGGAAAAAATGTTTAAACGAGATAAATCAGTAATAAGGCGGAGTGTGAAACGAGAAATGAATATAATTAAAAACTTTTACTTCAAAAAGACTAGTAGTACTAATAGTGCAGGTACAATAACTCATACAATAAATGAAGATCAAGTAATATTTACTGCTACAATTATTACTTAGACAATTAAATCAAATTGTCTGTCATCAACTAATACAGATTGTATATTATAGATAACATGCTATGAAGAAAATGAACTGCGTAACTCTGTATCGTCAAATTTGTCACCTCATTATTCAAATAGTGAACAAAATATGCTTCCTAACTCCACATCTCCAAATCTATCTTGTTTATAATTACATAAAGAAGTAAATGAGGTTCCAAGCCCAATATCACCTCTTTATTTAAATGATGAATTTTCAAGTAAAGATATGTTAGCACCAATGGAAAATAATTCTTTTGAAACTGACCTTGGTTGTTGGGCTACCGAATGTAATGTTCCACAAATTACAGTTAACAAATTATTAAAATTAATGAAACGCTATGATATAATAAAAACAGAAAAATTACCACAAGATTGCCGAACTCTCTTAGCAGCAGACCCTAAGTTAACAATGGGAAGTATCCTAAGTGTTACTCCTGGTCGCTATTACCATTTTGGGTTGAAAAATGGTAACATACAATTTTTATCAACTTCTAATTTGACTGAAATAAATCTTGCTATAGGGGTTGATGGATTGCCTCTAACCAAAAGTAGCAACAGCCAATTTTGGCCAATATTAGCCTATATAATAGGAGCAGAAAAAATAGTTTTTCCGGTTGGAATCTACCACGGGTACATGAAACCAAAATGTTCAGATGAATTTTTATCAGAATTCATATTAGAATCTAAAGAATTAATAACTGAAGGTATTGTTTTGAATGGAAGTAGAATAAAGGTTGTAATTAAATTATTTATCTGTGATGCACCAGCCAAATCATTTATTTTAAATACTAAAGGCCACTCTGGTTTTTGTTTATGTAGTATATGTATTCAAGAAGGTGAATATTATGAAAGACGAGTTTGTTTCCCATACTCCAAAAACAAGTCTGCTAAAAAAACACACGAAGACTATTTAAATATGACATATCGCGACCCTCGTGCTAATACCTCTTATCTCAACGTTTTTTCGAAAATGAGATATTGGTACCACTGTATAGCTGTTATCATGGCGCGTAATTTGTATTCATGACTGAAAAATTTTATTGTGTTTTTCCCTCCAAAAACTCATTTGTAGTGATAACAAGTATTTAATTCTGTGTAGAATAACACTTATCTCGTGTTTTTTTAAATTGTGTTTGACGTTGGTTGGTGTAAGGAGCTTTTGTTCGTTTCTTCAAATATTATTATTAAGAACTTCGATCAAATAGGTATATATAACTATTTTGTTGCAAGGTAGTATAGTAATTTATTATTGTTAAGTATTAGGTTAATAATTATAGAACAGGAACATAATGTAATATAATATTAATTGATAAAAATGTACAATATTTTACTTGTTTGATTAATACTGTATTATTCCTATTATAATATAATAGCTGTCGTACACCATGCCTAAAAAAAGGTCTAATTGTCAATCGAACCTATGTAAATATATGTTGAATTTGGTAAATCAACAATACAATAATAATATACCTTCGTACCTGATGACTACCTCAGGTATTATTTTTAACTCAACATAATATTTATATTTTTATGATGTGTGGTGTTATATTTATTTTAAATTATTTTTTAGATCCTATAATTGCAGCTTGTGTTGATGATTTATCTAATCAAACTATTGATATTGATAATATAGAATCTGATATTATGATGACTACCTCAGGTATTATTTTTAACTCAACATAATATTTATATTTTTATGGTGTGTGGTGTTATATTTATTTTAAATTATTTTTTAGATCCTATAATTGCAGCTTTTGTTGATGATTTATCTAATCAAACTATTGATATTGATAATATAGAATCTGATATTATGATGACTACCTCAGGTATTATTTTTAACTCAACATAATATTTATATTTTTACGATGTGTGGTGTTATACCTATTTATTTTAAATTATTTTTTAGATCCTATAATTGCAGCTTGTGTTGATGATTTATCTAATCAAACTGTTGATATTGATAATATAGAATCTGATATTATGATGACTATCTCAGGTATTATTTTTAACTAGAATATTTATATTTTTATGATGTGTGGTGTTATATTTATTTTAAATTATTTTTTAGATCCTATAATTGCAGCTGGTGTTGATGATTTATCTAATCAAACTGTTGATATTGATAATATAGAATCTGATATTAAAATCAGAGAAAATCAGAGAAATCAGAGGAAATCAAAAGGAGACCCAGAAGTAAAGGATATTAGGGCATTAAAATATGATCCGATTTCTCAAAAAATTTATTTCATGTTAAAATTTGATGATGAGTATCAGGCTATTCCTCAATATAATCGTTCCAGAAAAATAATTGATTTCAACAAAGAAGCACCAAACCTATACCAAAGTAGAAATGTACTAACACTTTCAAAGTGGAATGATTTGCAGAAACTAAAAGGTGTTTTGCCAAGAGATGTGCATGATTTCTATGATAATTTACCACACGAGCAACAGTTAAAGGCTCGCAAAACTACAAAAGTTTAAACATTTTCAAACTTTTTTTTTTAATATTTCCTTTAATTAAAATGACAATTAATGTTCCTAACATAAATAAGTTATAAATTTATTGTTTTTAAATTTTAAATATTGTTTATTTTTATTTTTAACAAGTTGGTTTCTATTATTTTGTTTTTATTTTTCATAAGTTGATTTCTATTAATTTCTATTTTAATAATATACAAGTTGATATTTTATTTTTTGTTCAATTTATATTTATCTGTTTTTACTATGATAAATAATAATAAAGATTATGTTTTTTAAAATTGAATATCATAACGTGTAAATTATTTATTTATAAGAAAATATTAATAATTAATTAATCTTTTTTTATTATTAATGGTAAATAATAACACTTATCTAATATAATTTAATGATAACAACACGAATCTCCTAATGACAATAACACGCATCTCCCATAAATTTTCGAAATAACACTTAACTCATACAAATAAAAAAAAATTGTCTAAATTGTTGAAATTAATACAATTTACTAGTTAATCATAGTTATTAAATAAAGTTAAAGTCTAAAAATTAAATTTTTCTGATTGAAAAGTGATTTATTTAGTTTATTGTCTCTCCTGAACAATTTCAAAAAAGTGAGATAAGAGGTATTAGCACGAGGGTCGCGATATGAAGATTCACATATTGGAACAATTTCAAAACTTGTAGAGTTACCTGGTTTAGGAATAGTTCGTGCATTTCCTCTGGACTATATGCATTTGGTGTATCTTGGGGTTACACGGAAACTTATTACACTTTGGATGCATAAGGGACCAATGCAAACTCGACTTCCAAGTAAAAGTATTCATGCATTAAGTAAATCACTTTTAGATCTCAAACCATTCATTCCGTCAGAATTTGTGAGAAAAACCAGACATATTCAAGACATTAGTAGATGGAAAGCGACGGAATTGCGTTTATTTATATTATATATTGGTGTTGTTGTACTTAAAGACATTTTAAATAAGAATATTTATACTAATTTTATGAGTTTGTATGTTTCGATATTGATACTACTGAGCCCCGACTATGAGTGTTGTATAGATTATGCTGAATCATTGTTGGACTATTTTGTGAGAACATTTGATGAAATATATGGTCGTCAGCATATTTCTCACAATATCCATGGTCTTTTACATATAGTTGACGACTATAGAACTCATGGACCACTGGATAATTGTAGTGCATTTCCATTCGAGAATTACATGAAAACACTCAAATATAGAATTAGGAAACATGATAAGCCACTGGAACAATTAATTAATAGATATAATGAAATATATAATAATCAAAATATCAATTCAAATTTATCAGAACAACACTCAACAAATGAACAAACATTATTATTAAAATGTCATAAAAATGGTCCTTTAGTAAAAAAATTAATGGGTTACAGTATTACAAATTAATAAAAAACTCCTTCAATTTAAATACTAAAGTTGATCGCGAAAGTTATATTTTGACTAAATCCGGAGAAATTATCAAATGTTTGAATATTGTAAAGACTCCAAATAACAAAATCATGATTATTGGAAAATCATTTGAAAGAAAAAAATCACCATTTGAAAAACCAGTAGATTCAAAAATATTTAAAATTTTCAGTGTGCAAAATTTGAATGAAAATTTGAAATGCTTTGAAGATTGTGAAATTCATAAAAAAAATGTTATTCTTAGTTCATAATGGAAATTCAATTGTTATGCTAATAATTCATACTTAAAGAACCCTTTTTCTAAAAAAACATATTTTTTTTTTTTAAGTAGTTTCATAAATCAATAATTTAAAATTTAAACAAATTCCATTACCTCTAAATTGCATTTTTCAATAATTTAATACAAAATTTACATGGGTACCTTTATGATATATGTATATATAATATGGTTCAAAAGCCAATAAATTTAGATTTATATGATTCTTATTAATTTACTATTATCAGTTTTTTTTTATTTTGTTAAAAATGTATTATTATATAACTATACGGCTATGCATAATATTGTCGTATATTGTAGACAGTCGTCTAAGTATTATTTCATATATGTAATAGAGGTGGGAACTTTTTATTGTAAACCATTGACATAGGTCAGTGAAGCATATGTGCTGAGACAGCTATAAGATTACTATATAACACCGCCGCACGCGCAGGCACGGGAGAGTCCCGTTGTCGCTGAGTGAATCGGCGAGGACGTAGGTACTGTGGTCGTACGTGTGAAACGTCGATCGTAGTACGGGCTAGGCGATCTGAATTCGCCAAGTATATTTTATTTTGTGTTTGTTATTTAAATAAAATAAAAGTGTTTCCGACCTAAAAACCCGAGTTGAGTTTTATTTCAAAGTCTTCTTCGTTCTTACCTTTGATATTGGAACAGTGCTCAGACCCGCACACCTATAGTCAATGAGGTTTATTACAAACTGAACAGTGCTCTGGTTGTGGCGTCCTAATAGTCATTCCAATTTAGGAAACGAACGAAGAACTGACAAAACGCTACCATCGTACCTCAAAGGTTAACAGTGCTAATCTGAATTTATTCTAGAGACAGTCATTAGCCTAGAGCGTACGAGGGTAAGGTATAAAGTTGGTTTACCGCGTATTATCCAATACGGGTGATACCACAGAGTGGCGCCCAACGGGGTTACTTACCTACGGTCGGAGACATTTTTTTTTGATTTTGTGCCCTGGTACCTCAACCTTGGCAAGTTTAATTTTTTTGAAAGTGTTTACGTACGAGAAGTACGACAGTTTTTACGTGTAGTCTGGGAGAGATTCCCTTGACACACCATTTTTTTTTGGTACAAGTGAAGTACAACAATTGTGCACGTTTCGGATAGTAAAACCCGGAGCGAGTTTAGTGATTTTTTCCGTTAAAGTAAAATATACCTTTTGTGTTTTGGGTGCAGTGTAAACCCAGAACGCAATTTTTGTGCGTGTGTATACCGAGTGAGTAACACATACGCGTTCGATTTTCGTCTGACCGACAAGACAGCAGTTTTGTGCCGCGTGGTACAATTTTTGCAACCGTGCGTCTACAAGTATACGCCAAGGTGAGCAACGTTTTGTAATATACTTAATACTTATTTTAGGATTATAGATTAGATTTTTCTTAAAACAATTTAAATAGAATTTTAGTTCAATAATTTTTCAAAATTTTTTTTTCGATTTTAAATAACCGCAAAATTTTAATTTAAGTTTTAAACAAGTAGATTAAGTTTTTAAAGAAACTATTTAAATAGGATATTTTTTTTTTAGTTCAATTTTTTTCTCTCTATTCCTCTCTTTTACTTTTCAAAATTTTTATTCGATATAATTATAACCGCAAAAATATTTTAATTTAAGTGATATACTTACGTATTAATATTAGGATTGTATATTAGATTTTTTTTTAAATTTAAATAGGATTTTTTTTTATTCAATAACATAGTATTATAATTAATCTAGTAGTATTTTTTTTTTTTTTTTGTCAAACTTCTTAATAATTTAAATTTGTAGGGATTTTACCAATAGTAAAAAGTAGGTTAATCGTAGATAAACATAATTAAAAAATAGTGAGATTATTGAAAATAAATTAATAAATCATAATAATTCAACAACTATTGATTCTAATAACACAAGTGAAAAACCAAAATTCAAAAACGAAAACACAGCAAAAAAAATAAATAATCAAAACGGAGATAACCTAAACTCTGAAATTCATTCTATTCCGTTAAACAAACAAACACAGATAATGACAGAAAAAATTCTAATGATTAGACCAGACCAGTTCTCAGGTAATGAGGACGTAAGAAAATATTTCAAACAATACGAAAAAGCAGCAGATGTAAACGGTTGGAAGGACGAAGATACAGCAAGATTTTTATCGATATTCGTAAAAGGTACAGCAAGTATATTTTTGGAAAATTTGGAAGACAAACAAAATAATTGGACATGGAATAATTTGAAACAGGAGTTTCTCGACGAATTTCAACCAATGGGTTACAATACAATTTTAAAAACTAGATTAGAAAATAGACGTCAAGGAGATACAGAGTCTATAATGAGTTTTGTAACAGAAATAGAAAATATATGTAGACAACTAAATAAAAATATGCAGGAAGAAGAAATTTGCACTTATATTTTAAAGGGATTAAAAGAGACAGTCTTACATGCGATTTCATTACACGACAATAGCAACCTAAAGGAACTAAAGAAAAATTTAAAAAAATTTGAATTGATGCAATTTCGAATTAATAACAGAGGACCAGAATTAAGTGATTATACAGAAATGCTTAATGAACATGTATCTCAACTAAACCAAAAAACAAAAGAAAAAGGAAGAGAAATCGATGAACTAAAAAGTCAGTTAATAGAAAGAGATAGAGAATACAAAAAGGAGATGAACCAGTTACGGGAAAATATTCAACAAATCAACATTACAGGAAGAAGAAATAAATCGGTAAACTTCGATGATGAAGAAATAGATAATCGATATAATAATAAAAATTATAATTATAATGAAGATAGGAGCAGAAGTTATAATAGAGAAACAAATTACCGAGGACGACAACGTGAATACAGAGACCAAAGTCCATATCCAGGAAGAACAGATCACGAAGGCAGGAACAATTATAGGGAAAAAGGTCCTTATTCCGATAGGTACAACAACTATAAGCTCAGAGAAAGCAGTAGAGATAGATACAATAACAATAAATATAGAAATAACAGTAGAGAAATGAGCAATAATAGAGATAGGTCTAACTCAAGAAATAGGGAAAACTCCTACGACAGATCCAGAGATAGAGATAGTTATAAGAACAGAAATCGTGAAAATGACATAAGTAGGAAAGAGCACAGTAGGGAAAACAGCAGAGTAAGATATTCAAGATCCACGACGCCGGAAGGATTTAACAGAAGAGAAAAAATAACATGCTACAAATGCAATAATAAAGGACACTATGCTAGCGATTGCAATTTTTCAAAAAACGAATAGCACCCGAGCAAAGAGAAAAATCGGAATATCTTACTCGGGGAACAAATAATATTTATACAAAAGCCGACGTCTCAAAATTTAACAAAGAAAAGCAGACTGAGAAAAATAATTATATACATTTTGTAGAAAATTTATACAAATCAACAAATTCAAATAAATTAATAACTAATGAAATAAACGACGATGACGAAAAATCTATAGAAAACATCGTAACAATAAGTAGTTTGAACCCACTAAATGAATTCCAAAAATTCCTACTCAGCAATAACGATAGAACCGATTTCCTATGCGATTACAGTGAACAGACGGTAAATATTTTTTCATTACCAAATGATATCGCAATCGGCCATTGCACAAGCCAATGCCTCACCATGTCGAAGGGGATCGCATTACAATTTAGAAATAAATTTAACAACGTTCAAAATTTAATAGACCAAGAAAAAAAACCGACCGAAATTGCTTATTTGAAAAACGGAAGACAATGGATTCTATACCTCATAACAAAAAATAAATATTACGACAAACCAGCATACACTAACATTTTTAGCACATTAACTAATACTAGGCAATTTTGTATAAAAAATAATATTACTACCTTAGCATTACCCAAAATTTGCACTGGACAAGACAAAAAGGATTGGAACGTTATTTCTACCATGATTAAGTTTATTTTTCAAGACACGCAAATAAAAATTTCAATATGCCTACTGCCGAGCAACGACAATGAAAAACAAAATAAACATTATAAAAACAATGATTCCCAAACTACTAATATTACGATAGGTAAAAATTTTAATAACACGATCAGTGATAGTTTAAAGAACGAAATCGCACTAATAGCTGGCTCATTCATAAAAACGAAAGACGTACCCGGAGACGGTGATTGTGGTGCCCACGCACTACGAATATGCTTGAAACAACATGGTATATATAGAAAGACGGTAGAATTATTAAATATGCTCGGCATTCCTAATTGCAAATCTGGCTACTATTTTGAAAATGACGATCTAGCATTTATCTGTGACCAATTTAATTTAAATTTATATTTAATACACGAAGATTCCGAACATACAAATGCCATAATATACTGGAAATCAAATAGGAAAAGTATAGGGATATTCGAAAAAGATTATAATTGGACACCAGGAATTATCACAAAAATATATAAACCACGTCAATTCAATAACATAATAATAAACACAGTTTTTCCCGACTTTAATACTGTAGAAAAAAATGTAGACCATTTCTTATACGAATGTTTCGATCGCTTAAAATTATCGCAACAAAACACAATAGAAAAAAATAAAACCGGCAACTATTTTAAAACTGACAAATCAACAATATGGTACTCACAATTTTGCCAAGACTGCGAATATTTGTCCACAACCAAGGACGTACTAGACGACCACGATGACAAAGAAGAGTATTGGAGTGAGGGGGGAAACGTTATGTTTTGTGAAATATGCGGAAACTACATAAGAGAATATCGGAATCGGCCCATACAAGAAGACGAGAAAGCCATAGAAACCAAAAATTAGCTAATTCAACACAAAGACGAAATTAAAATCAAAAATCAAAATACAAGCGTAGATTAGACACAGACCGGAAACAAAGAGTGCTATCCATACAAATAAAACTAGACAAATAAAACGAACAAAATGCAATAATAGACACAGGCTCAAATCTATCATGTATAGATTATTCCCTAGTAAAAAATAAACAAGAAATGAAACCCGAGAACAAACACCAACAACGAAGACATAAGGAAGTTACCGAAAACATTGATAAAAATCCAGGAGGGCTTCGAGAATCTTATAAATGTTATCAAGTCCATTGAATAATTTTTCTAAATATTACCTTAAACAAAATTAATGTAATTGTAAAAATTAAAATTTATCAAAACAATATAATAATAAACCCCCTTTTAGGAAAATATAAATATAATTAACTAATAATATGTAATTAAACACAGTAATAAATTAAGTATATGTCATGTATAAGTTCAATTAACTCTTTACCTATATATATATTATATATATGAATTAATAACACAATTACATTTAAGGGAAAATAATAAAATATTAAAAGCATGTAAAAAAAAAAGATATAAAAAAAACAAAAGAATAGAATGTATTTTCAGCATAATCAAAAATTAACGAATCAACAGACAACAAGCCGCGACAATCTTCTGAGACAAAGTGCGAATATAATATTTTCAAAGTAGACAATAAGCATTAAACCAATAATTATAAAAACAATAAGCAAATACCTTTTCATACGAAGACACGAGGAAGAGACTGCAGTCAAAACAGAAGTTTGGAAAAATAATATACGAGAATATATATAAATAAAAGAAAAAAAAATATATATACAGATTATAAGAAGAAAAACTAAAACAAGCAAGATAATAAACACTTACCTTACAAACACAAAGGAGAAGAAGAATTAACTACCACAGAATCAAAAAAAAAAAAAAAAAAACAAAAATCCCGTAGAAGAACAACAATCATTTACTGCTATTTGTCGAAATAAAATATTATACTTCAAACTGAGAAAAATCTCTAAGAAAACATTTTCCACAAGGAGCCAATCAATAAATTATTATAACCTTATATGTATTCACATAAATTTTTGTATCTATATTCAGAATATGTATTTCATACATTATAATACAGTATAAAATATAACTCAATTTATATTTTATATTATAAAAAAAAATATTAATCATTAATATGTATTTATGAATTATAGGTTTCTAATTGTTTCTAGCATCAAATATTTTTCGCTGCCTAGGCAGTCTGTAGGATTTATTTTATACTGTGTTAGTATATCATTGCTTGTTTAAAACACGCATTTAAAAATAAATTAGTAAATTAAAATTAACATTTAAGCATAATTTTATAGTCAACGACGCGAATAAGCCGAGACAGAAATATAGTGTAAAAGTAGATTAGTATTTAATGTAGTAATAAGACAATTGTATAAAAAAAAATTATTAAAAAATGAGGGCATTTTTTCCAAAAAACAAAGGGGACTTCCGTATATTGTAGACAGTCGTCTAAATATTATTTCATATATGTAATAGAGGTGGGAACTTTTTATTGTAAACCATTGACATAGGTCAGTGAAGCATATGTGCTGAGACAGCTATACGATTACTAAATAACACCGCCGCACGCGCAGGCACGGGAGAGTCCCGTTGTCGCTGAGTGAATCGGCGAGGACGTAGGTACTGTGGTCGTACGTGTGAAACGTCGATCGTAGTACGGGCTAGGCGATCTGAATTCGCCAAGTATATTTTATTTTGTGTTTGTTATTTAAATAAAATAAAAGTGTTTCCGACCTAAAAACCCGAGTTGAGTTTTATTTCAAAGTCTTCTTCGTTCTTACCTTTGATATTGGAACAGTGCTCAGACCCGCACACCTATAGTCAATGAGGTTTATTACAAACTGAACAGTGCTCTGGTTGTGGCGTCCTAATAGTCATTCCAATTTAGGAAACGAACGAAGAACTGACAAAACGCTACCATCGTACCTCAAAGGTTAACAGTGCTAATCTGAATTTATTCTAGAGACAGTCATTAGCCTAGAGCGTACGAGGGTAAGGTATAGAGTTGGTTTACCGCGTATTATCCAATACGGGTGATACCACAATATTAATTTGGTATAATTTCAATAAACATATTATATTGTTTAAATTTAACTTTAAAAGGTATCAAGTACATAATTATGTGGATTGTTGTTAATTTCTTGGATGAAGACGCTGTCGAAACTGTGCCTGAAACATGGTATCACAGAAAAAGTAAGACGTGTGCATGGCCTAATGCAAAGAATCGGGCAAAAAAATTAATTGAAAAAAGAGCATATCCAAATAAGTTGGAATATAATTGGTTGCCAGCGAGGATGTTAGGACGAAAATATGGTAAGATTTAAATGATATTTAAATAGTTTGTTATAGATACATAGATAGATAGATAAAATACCTATATATACATAAATAAATGTTTAAATAATTTTTTGTAAATATAAAATTATATAATGTATCAATATAGTTATACAAGAGGTAAATATTGTTTTTAGGAAGCTTAGAAGAAGCCCGAGCTAAGGCAAACAAGGCCATTATCCTTTCAGATTTATCTGCAAATGATGAATATATGAGCAAAAAAGTTACTACAAAAAAACAGTTTGAAAGTAGAAGAATAGAAAGTCCTCCAAGTTTAAAATCTAGTAAGATATATTATTTACATTTAATTTTCTCTGCATTTTAAGACTTAAGTAACTATATATTTGCATTTAATACATAGTTTCTACATAACTTTGCAAAAAAAAAAAATAAAATAAAATATGCTCCTACAATAGTTTTAAAAATAAGAAAAATGTTTTTATTCAATAATACATTACAATTATAATTAATATCTAGTTAATTTGTTATATTGATATTTTATATAAATTTATACCTATATATTGTCTTGTATTATTTTGTTAAATGTACCTGCTATAATTTAAATAAATTGATTTGTAATAACAATAGTCAAAATAAATTGTTAATATTATTTATTTAAAAAATTAATAGAAAAAAGGAAAATGAATTATGACAAATTTATTGATGATGAAAATGAAGATAATATAGATCCATATGACTCTGATAAAGATGCAGAATATAATTTACCCGGGGTTTCAAATGGTAAATTAGATATAATTATTTATGTAACTTCTCATATTATTATTATTAAAATCTAGCTGTTCAGTTTTATATAATTATATAGTATGCTATGTAATTGTTTGTTATAAATTATTTTCATTAGTTAAAGACTTTATTATTATTACTTTATTATAGACATCTATTTGCTTCTTAACTCGTTGCTTAATATCTTCAATCTCATAACAACCCTCTTCCAATGTAATAAAACATATCATAGAATCATTATTGTTTTCATTCTCAACTACTTGTATACAAAATTTATTATTATTTTCATTAATATTTGGGAATGAATTAAATGACTGTAAACATAATAAAGCTCCTCGTAAAGGTTTATAGGTGGAAAATAATTTACAGATAATATGGTAGCATTCCCAGTTAAACTTAAAGTAACTGACTCGTACATTTCAAAATCTAAGATATAAATTTAATGATGAGATCCGCGACGTTTAATATGTAGAACAACTGTTAACGTCTCGTTAAAATTATCAATTGGATTATTGTTTTGGTCAACTAACTGAACAGTAATTAAATTAATATCGGTTTTGTTTAATCTGTAATATATAAGGTTTACCGGAGATTGAACAACCTTTGTTCCTGTTTTCCCACTTGGGAAAAACTCGTGTATCGAATGACTTCGAAGTTGGTTGTTGAATGACCCATGTGCTATATTACACATTACCTTAGAATTAATTGAGTTTAAATTTACAGCTTTCTCCGATCGATGTTCTTCATGAAACGGACCACAATCTTTCTTTTTAAACCCAAAAACAGGTGCTATACTATATGAAGTATTAAATCGAAGTATTGCATTACATTTTATATACGTTCTAAAATCGACAGGATACATACGTATAGTGCATGTTAGATGTGTTCCGTGGTCGTTATTAACTTGAGATAACTCTTTTGCCATATAATTGTCAATATCTTCTATTTCATAGCATCCGTCTTCCAAACAAAATTCAAAAATGCGAAAGTCTTCTCTGTTTTTCTTTGGAGGAATTGTTTGTAATTTCAACCGGTTATTAGTTCCATTTATAATATTTGGAAATGAATTGAACATTTGCAAAGACAACAAAGCTATTTCCGAATCCTCGTAAACGTTTAGAGATAGAAAATAATTTGCCGACAATACAGTTGAATTTCCCGTAAAACTTAATGTAATAGATTCATGCATTGTAAAAATTCAAGACATAAATGACCACAGTTAAATGTATTGAAGCCTTGATAGTTGGAATAGTTGTATACTATTTTGAACTATAATGTTGTAATTCAATTGGTGGTGGTAAATCACCAAAGCTACCAAAGTATACAACTTTGTCCTTATTTTTATAAAACGCTACCCAATGACTTCCGTCGCCTGAAGAAATATCCAAGTTTAATATACCACATTCAATAGCATGCGGTTTTTTAGGTAAGTTATCACGTGAAAAGACTCCATGGAAATGATTGATTTTCAACTTTCCAACATAAAATAAAATTAGGCTAAAATCAACCTTTTACCACCATTCTTTTTCTTTAAGATTCTTTTTTTCTTCGCTGCTAGTATACCATTTGTTTCTATAGCACTTTTCCGTTTACAACCCATACCTATTTTTCTTTTAGATTTCATTGCGTTTGTTACTGCGTACGCAACTAATTTCTCTTTTCTAGGTGTATCTTTTGCTTTAAATCTTTCCCAAGCACGATTTTCTAACACTTTATCAGCTTTATGTCTATCGTCTAAATTTTTACTCGTTGCATACACAATATCGTGATCACGACAAGCAGTATCCAATGGGTTTATTCCTTTATCACCACGATCTAGTCTCTTTTTTAATTTCGTGCCAGGACCACAATACTGATATCCTGAAACATGGGCTTCGAACGGGAGACTATATTTTATAAGAGAGTTTACAAATCCTTTTCCAGTCTTGACTGACTTACACTTGCGAGTTGAACGCGTCATCTATAACTGGCTAAAAATTGGAAAATTCTAGAGTATTTATAAGAAAATAATATGGATTTGATAGAACAGAAAGATAAATTGGATGTTACAAATGTAGATGTTCAGGTAGTAAAAAAACCTTCACGACATGGTTCGTTATTACACGATACCATACGTGCTATACTAGTTGGTCCCAGTGGCTCAGGAAAAACAAATATAATGTATAATCTGATCACACATGCAAACGGGTTAAGATTTGAAAATATTTATTTATACTCGAAAACCTCTAATCAGGAAAAATATGTTTTATTGAAAAAAATAATAGATGATATAAAAGGTGCTAATTTTTTCATATTTACAAGCTCTAATAAGGTTATAAAACCAAACTTAACTAAGAAAAATTCTATTATAATTTTTGATGATGTGATATGCGGCCCACAATCTGTAATCAGAGAATACTTTAGCATTGGTAGACATTCAGGTGCCAGCTCCGTATTTTATTTAGCACAGACATATTCTAAAATATGAAAACAGCTTGTAAGAGATAACGCAAACTTTTTAATAATACTGAAACAAGATGATACAAATTTACGACATATATTCAACGATCATTCGTCTGCAGATATGGATTTCTCAGAATTTCGGAAAATTTCTCATTTATGCTGGAATCATAGCTAATATGGGTTTATGGTTATCGATAAAACTCGAAAAATGAATGAAGGAAGGTATAGATGCGGTTTTCATACATTCATTAAAATAAAATAATTTTATGTGTTTATATAAATATACCGTCACACAGTTATTATCTGCATAGTGTCATCAGTAGTCATACGATACAGGTATATTACATTTATTATTTACAATGAACAAAGAAAAAGTCTTGTTGGAAAATTTAATAACATAAAAAAAAAATATACAACGAAAAATAATGGAAATGAAACATGGTGTTATAGATTCTGAAAAATATTTCCGTGAAGCATTTAAGCCGATAATTGAACCATTGAGTACACATGTGAAACAAAATGTAATATGTAACACACGGTCAACTGAACTAGAAAATAAATCAGAAACCCCGTGCTTTAGTGAAGAAGATAATGATGATGAATTAAATTCATCATAAGAAAATTTTTTAAATAACCGTCCTAAATCAACACGTTATGATAAATCTTATGGTATGTATTATGATAAAGATAGTGATTCATATAAAATAGGAAAACATTCTGTTACTTTTAGTCCCGGCAAATTACTGTTGCTTAATAAATACTACCAATTTACACCAGGACTATGGTCTTTATTATGTGAGAAGGAACCAAAAAATACAACTATAGCAGATATAGAATCTTATTACAATATTTTGAAAACTAGTGGAGTCCATTTAAAAGCAGATGGAAAACCTAGAACCTCGAGGTACCATAAATGGGTGACTGTTGTAAAACCACTGTATGATCGAATGAAAATGGAGGAAAAACAGTTTAACGAAGAAATAAGTAAAATTAATGAGAATACAACTCCTCGAATTAATTTAAAATCATTTGACAATCATTTATCTAGTTCAAGCGCTAAACGCAGAAAAATAACACAAGAATTTGAACCATTTGATTTTAATCCAGAAGCAAACAGTTTCATGTCTACAAATCCATTAGTTGAAAAGATGTTTAATTTTACTTCATCACCAAAGACTATGAAAGGTTCTGGTTTATATAAAGATGTCTTACCTCAAACCCAATTAGTTTATTATGATGATCCGAATGAGCTAGTAACTAGATTAAATCTTTTGACATCATCACAAAGTGTTGGTAATACTGGTGTGAATAATGAAATAATATCTATTTTAGAAGAACTTCGTGAGAGAAATATTATAGTATAATGACTACCTTAGAGAGTATAGATAATGAGTTACATCGGCCAGCGAGAAAAATATTTCCTAGACGCAGTGTAGTAACGCGGTTTATTGATGACCTCTGGCAAGCTGATTTAATGGACATGCAATCTCATTCTAGACAAAATTATGGTTTTAAGTATATTTTAGTTGTCATAGATACATATAGTAAGTACCTACGTATGGCTTGAGGCGTTGAAAAATATAACAAAGGGTACAAAAGGTATGTTTAATATATTGAAAAAAGCTCATCCGAAATTATTACAGACAGATAATGGTACAGAATTTTACAATGCTCAATTTAAAGATTTAATGAAAAAATATAAAATTAAACATAACAGTTCATACAGTGTTATTAAATGTTCAATCGCAGAACGCGTGATCCAAACTCTTAAAAATAATATATATAGACATTTTATTGCTACTGGTACATGGAATTGGTATAATACACTATCAAAAATTACACAAAATTATAATAATACAAAACATAGAACAATCAAATGTACACCGAATGAAGCTCGAATGGATACAAACAATATTAAATTTAATACACAAATAAATGATACATTATATCATCCAAAATTTAAAGTTAATGATAAAGTAAGAATATCTAAGTATAAACATATATTTAGTACCTAAATGATATACACCAAATTGGACAACGGAAAAATTTACATTTTCAAAAGTTTTACAGACAAATCCAGTAACTTATCAACTAAAGGATGAATCAGACAATATAATCTTAGGTGGTTTTTATGAACAGGAAATTAAATTAACTGATTTTCCAAACACCTTTCTCATTGAACGTATTGTAAAAAAAGTTGGGAATAAAATGCTAGTTAAATGGTTAGGTTTTGATTCAAGTCAAAATTCATGGATAACATCATCAGATATTTTAAAATAAAGATTTTTATGTATAATATGTAATACTTTTATAATAAAATATTTTTATTTTTTTGAAGTCAAAATTAATAATTACACAATGTTATGATCTCCTAATCCTCAATAGCCTGTTTCAAAAAAAAAAAACATGATGTATCCACAATCGATATAAAAAGCACCATCTAGCGGAAAAATTAAACAATGAAAATAAATAATACTTCTGTATTTTTATCCTATAATTTTAGTATAGTATTTATTTTATCTTTAACAATTATTTAATAAAAAGGTTTATATTCAACTTGTATAGTATGGAATCTATATTCTTAATCAAACATTTTTAAGAACATTTTTTTTTTTTTTTAAGTCTTTCAATTTCAATTAATTCTATTGATTCTGATGGTTAACGGTTTGAAATAATTTTCCTCATCTTTCCGTAATACAACTGTAAAACATAAAATATATAAGCGGTAATGTTATAAATTATTATAATATCATATCGAACAACTATATTTCAATTATTTCGTTTTTTCTTATTTAATAATATTCTTCTTTAATATAGTATGTGGTAACATTGATTTTAGAATATACTAAAATCAATGGTGGTAATAATATAGTATTAATTAATAGTTATTTTATTAAGGGGTCTCTATAGACAACTTCTTATACACCCGTTAGTATAAATTTATTCTGTTTTTAGCTAAATGTAATCTTTATACGTTTTTATTATTATTATTATTTTGTATAGTTTAGCTAACCAGTCATAAAATATGTTATTACCATAATATTTAATTAAAGTTTCTTAAGTTTTAAAACTTAAAATATTGATAATAATAATCAGTCAAAGAGACTATGTCTTTTCGTATGTTTTCATTTTCTTTTTCATTTTTTAACTTAATGATATAGTTACTGTTTTTATATTTTCAAAAATAAATAAAAGTGTGATAAAATCAGTGATTGATTTTTGAATACACTGTATAATATAATTCACTTTTTATTCAATTAACTTTTTTTTTTGCTTTTTATACTGATCCATTAAGTTTATAGTGACCATAAGCTAAAGTATTTATTCCGTCATCCATTATATAACGTTTATAATCGTTTGCACTTAGAACAAGTTTGTTCATTGTTTTCGAATGAACAACATGTTTATTTGATTGGATAAAATTAATTTTTCTGTGAGTTTGTTCATCCTTGAGAGTTCTATGGTTTATAAAAGCGTTTAGTATATCCTTAGAATTATTAAATTGCATGTGATTTTTAATTATATATTTCTTTACACCTTTTGCCTTTTTCAAATGGGTTAGCATTAGCATGTGCTAACGAATCTTGAAAATTTTTTTATATAACAGTAATGTGATGTTTCGTTATTATTAAACAAAAATAGATCGAAATGTTTTTTTCTTTCAGTATCACATATATACAGAGGAAAAATTGTTCTTTGTCATTTAAACTAAAAAGATTAATTGATACATCGTTTACACGTTCAAATTTTTTCATCTAACTGATTGGTGTTGGAAAATCAATACATTTAAAATCTAAACCACTTTTTTCTGTCATTTTAAAATATTTTTTATTTAAAATAAGTTTTATTCGAACGATTATCAAACTTAGATAGTATTGAATATTTAAAACATTAACCATCGTTATTTTTTCACATTTATAATTGCTCTTTAAACTTTCATATATTCAGGTAAATCTATATACGTTCATCCCCTGAGGGGATTCACTATATTAATTCTCAATAGTAATACATCTATACTCTTAAGAGACCACCCAGATCCTTTCGCTAAAAACTGGTCTTGCTCGGATAATAGTTTATCGAACATCCTATTTAATAATTTATTGAAATCGGATGAATTACATGCAAGTGTATTAGAAGTTTTGAATGCTATGTCCTGAACTTCTTGAGTAATTATTCGTTCGTATACACTATCCACATGTAAATTAAATTTTATAGATGATTGTGTAGTAAGGGGAAAATAAGCTGGGGGGGGCCCACGTTGGGCGCCATTTGTAGTAAGGAGAAAATATGGTGGGAACAATTTAGTTGAAAGGGGTGAATAGGCGGTAGGGGAAGGTAAAGGTTATAGGTGAGAGATATGTGTGTTATAATAAATATTGGAGATTTCCGCTTATGATCTCCCTACTACTGTGTTGTACTTAACTGTCTAATGATATTTGAATTACCTACTTTTATTATATAAACATTCAAACACTTACCTCACTGTAGCTGGTTTTCTTTTAAGTGGTTTGTAGTTCTTCGGGGTCGTGTTCGACCGTCGATATCACGATGACAATATATGTATGTACTTTTATGTGATCTGTAGGATTTCGTATACAATTTCTACCTGTGACTGTCACCATATGTTCCCAAAATCCTTACATTCGTAACAGGAGTACGTATAGTCTCCCCACCAACCGAATGTAATTTAAAGTGATGAATATTTGTTATTACACATTTATATCTTGAACACAGCTCTTAGAGTTCCTACATTCGTGACAACTAGTACGTATAGTCCAATCGTCGACCGAATGTAATTTAAGTTAAGAGAGCACTTATTACTATACTCGTGTTCTAAGACATAAATGTGCAGTAGTGATGCAATAGGCCTATAATGTGATGATAGTCACAGAACCTTATGTTTTGAAAGACCAATGGATAGGTGAGTGTAAAAAGATGAACAATTTCAATTTAACTGATAAAGAAACAACCAATTTAGACAGACATACCGGGTGAAGGAATGATTCAATATACATATATTGTACACGCATAAACGCACAGTGATCCTTTGGACAGTAGTAGAAAAAGATTGTGATGTTGACTGGCGTGGACGTTGTGCATGAGTCTTCTCCTGAAAGATACTGTCGTGGACCATGTGTACTCACCTCATTCACGTGCCACAAGAGGGTTGAAAATGTCCAAATAGGGTAGTTTTTATACAAAAAATGATAAAATCAAAATATTTAATTTATTTTCGAAAATTTATTTTTTTGGAATTGAATTATTAAAATAATCAATATGTGCATAAGTATATAATTAAATAAAATTAATATCTACAACATAATAAATATAAAATTCAGTATGCATTATGCAAGTTAAGTACTATATTTTTAAATTAATGAAAATGTTGATTTTTTACTATACGGATATTTTTTTCTATACTCATTTACCACCTGTAAAAGATACTGTTTTTGGTCTTCATCTTTTGTTAATATTGTATTAAACTCTTCAATTAATTTTATATTTCATTCAGCTACGTCGTTTACTACCATAAGATTCTTAACAATTTTAAGTCCTTTTTGATAATCTTCTCTCGTTTCCCATGTATCAGGATCAACATTGAAAAATTCTGTAGAAATAGAAAACCTTGAAAAAAAATTCAGGGTTTCTGGCGATAATAAATCAACAAAATCTTTCTTAACAAACTCTTTAACTTCACTTGAACGAATATTAATTTTTTTCATATAAGGATCTTCAATTTCATCGTTAGAGGTGGTCGCATTTATCATTTTTAATTTGGTATCTTTTGGTATCAAAAAATGCTAAAGCCATAGTTTCAGGAGCAATGTACCATAAATGTCCACACAATTTATTTATGGTTACTCGAGATATATCAGAATCTGGATATTGAATTAAGCTTTTTAATAAGTTATAATCTTTTAAAGGAGCTTCAATTGCAAATGGTGCTCTAAACCACGTTATTACGTAAATATTTATTAAAAAAATACAGATGTCACGGAAAGCATTTCTTTCCTTTGCCCGACACTGAAATTGATTTTGAAATTGTAGATCGCTTTTGACATCCACCTTGCGTGATGAAAGGCCCCAGGGTAACGAAATGTTATTCCACGAGGTGGTGTTTCTCCAAGAAATATAACTGTTAGCTCTAAAAGTTCTCTATAGTCTTCCCTAGATTGTTTCTCTTTTAATTCTTTATTACAAAATTCTATTATTAGATCTTTTTTATTTTCTACCAATGATTTTACAACTGTATCGTTTAATCCAATGTAATAGTTTTGTGTATTTATAGTTGGCCATTGTTATTGAAACCGTTTAAAAATAGGTACATCAGGACCTGTAGTAGGCAATTTAAATTTTAAATCAAATACACACTTTAATAGTAGCTCAAAAATATGATGACGACATGGTAGATATAATAGATCACGGTCAATGAACTGCTCCAATAAAACACAAGTTCCATTTATACGGCCAGTATTTGATGCTGTAGTATCACAACATACAGCTTGCACTTTATCAATAATACTCCATTCTTCCAACGATTCAAAAATAGCTTTTGCTTGGTTTACACCAGTCCCATTTAAAGGCTTTGGTACACCTAGCAACTGTGTAATTCCCTCGAATGAAATAACAATTGGTAATCGATCAACTTTCACTTTTTCGCATAAATCGGGAAGTAATTTCCCATCCCAATGTAATACTACGTAATCCAATTTTAATAAATTAAAATTAATTTTAAGTTCCTTTGCTCTTATTTCACGGAAAATCACTCTTTTACGTTGTAATGTAGATCTATTTATTTTAAGTTTAGAGATATCCTGACCTAGAGCCTCTGCAGTTGAAATTATAATATGTATTGCGTCACAATCACTAATTTTACACTTGTCTAACGCAGAAAGTAATTTAGGAGACATTATTTCAATTGTCCCCCTTTTTTTTATATCAGAACTATTACTTGACTCACCAAACTGAATACTTTCTTCTAAAGTGGGGATATTTTCTTCGCTTGAACAACTTATGCTCAGAGATTCTGGTTCATCAAATTGATCTAATAAATAATGTAATAAATTACAATTAAAATATATTTTTAAATAGATATTAGAAATTATTGAATTATTTTAATATTTTATTTATTTAAATATATATAATTCATTGGTTTCCGAGTTTTCTCTCTTTTTTTGTTGTTCTAATTTTTCTAACTTTTGAATAATTTTTTTTTCTTTTACTGCCAATTTATAATCAGTTCCTAACATACAACCTGGTCTCCCTTTTTGTCGCTGCAATAACAAAAACTTTTTATCTTCTTCATTTTGAATCATATTTAATACATTTGCATGAGAAATATCAAAAAGGTCGTCCAATTTGTCAATAAAATCAGAAACTTTATTTTTTTGTGTTTCAGATGTTCTTTTAGATAACTTCTGTAAATTTCGCCACTCTTGATATAAAGCTTCTAACTTCGAGGTACAATGATGTTGTTCTCGTATATGTATTCGCGCCCACTGAAAGAAATATGATATAAATAATTAACAAAAGGGTTGAGTTAAATGAAACATAGTAGGCATAACTAGAATATTGCTAAACAGATCGAACAGTACACTTGGTATAACTAAGTAATCTGTGATACGTTCAAATGTAATTTTGTTAATTGCACTTTAGTTACGATTACAAGTTGTTTTGTAATTGATGCAACTTGGATTGTGCATACTACAATTAAATGCTTTTACCAGAATATTTGGTGTCTCTGACAAATCATATTTGTTGGTATAGTTGAATACTCTGTAAAAATTACCAAGTAGAAATTGTTATTTATAACCAAAGTACACAATGGGTTTACAACAAAGCGTATAGTTAGAGCAACAAATATTAAGAGAAAACAACTCTATATTTAGTACGCGTCATTGGTATTTTGGTTGGTTTTACCATTATGATAACTGATGATTACAAGAAGTTCTGTAAACATAACAAGATATAAAAGTAATGTTTTGTTAGAACTACGGATTTATCCAGTAACCATTACAGTTTTTAATGTGAATCAGTATTCGGTGTATGTCAATTCATGACTCGTGTCTCGTATTCATTTCGCGTTCTGACTTTATACATTACACCCATTGTACGTACTTGTTTTTAAAATGGCAGATGAAGACGTAAAAGATTTTTTAACAGCATGGGACCTACAGCAGTACATTGCTATATTTGAAGGTAAGTTTCATTTTATAATTATTTAGGTAAAGGTAATGGCGGTTTAAAATTAATTTAAAAGAAGTGCTAATGCTGTCTGCTTATTAGTTATTTAGCTTTTGCCAGGTATTAATAAATCACTAAATGCAAGAAGGGCCCTGTCCATAATTTTGATGAATCACATTTTTGTCTAGATTCGGTAAATACCTCGTGTACAAGCGAGTCACATATCCTATTTACAGGTACATTGTTTAATGTAAAAACGGCGGGTGTTCAGTGGTAGTCCATTTAAATAGATATAAATTTGACCAGGTAGTCTCCATAACCTATATCATACGTCTTATAATTAAACAGTTACCAATCAAAATATTAAATTAAATTTACTAAAGAAATTACATATTATTTTTAATTGAATAATAAGTATTATATAATGATGTTTTATTTTAAAATGACATTTTTGGCGGTTATGGTCTTCATAAAATAGGCCGATTTAAGGCTGTGTGTGTTGTGTGAATGAATATGAATACATATTATTAAATATTTGATTTTAAGTACCATGTAAAATACATTTACCCTTACGGCCTCCCCCCTAAATTACCACTATAGTTTGTCAGTGTAACACTGTACTGTATTAACTGTGACAGTTAACTATAGTTGGAAATGGCTAAATAATTTTAAAAACTGAATATTATGTTCTTAAATTTTGTATTTAAATAACCATTTTAAATTATATACCTAGCTGTAATGATTGAAATGTATAGAAACCAAATTTACTCAAAAATTAATTAATTTAATTTAATAAACAGGCAACAGCTGGCTTATGATGACATAAATGATCCCCTGTTAAATAAAATAATTACTTATTTAAAAATGTTAATTAATTTTTGTATATAGAAAATGACATAGACATAAGAAATCTTCCCTTGTTAAAAGAAGAAATGATCAGAGAACTTATACCGTCCGTTGGTCATAGATCTCGTTTTGTATCAAATTTAGATGATTGGAGAGTGATTGTTTCAGGAATGACAAATACCTCAAACGACTCAAATACAGTAATAACTATATTTCTTTGTACTATTTCTCAACCATATTATCAAGTATCAACCACCACATATTTTTAAAAATACATGGGCACCTATTTTAAAATAAGCTTTTATTGCTTTTATTGCTTAGGTGCTATTTAAAATATGATACAACCGTTGCCATATATCTAATATTTAATTTTAAGATTTGTTTATTAATTTAGACACCTAAAGTTTTATATTTAATATTTGTGCATTAAATTATGTTTATTTAATTAATGTTTAAAATGTATTTCTTAAGATTATTAATTCCCAAACATCCAGTAGCAGCTCAACAACTAGCAGTTCTATAGGTTTTCAAGATGTTTGCAGCTTCCAAACATTAGACCTACATAGTGATTTATCTCAGGTATGTTATCAGAAAAAAGTTAATTTTGCATTATTTTAGAAGTACTAAAGTTCACTTTATATCTTTATATTGATTTAGTTAAAAGCTAACATTCTAACATTGGTCTATAATTTAATTTAATATTTTTAAGTTTAATAGGTATGCGTTGCTAATATTTTTGCTTTGTTATGACCTTGGTAAAATGTAGTCTATTTTCTATTAAAGATTTTATTTAATGAGTTATTTTTATATAAATTTAAAATATACCTTATTTAGTTTTTCACAATTAATTTTGTATTTTTTCACTTAAAATGTTTTGTATTATTTTATTTTACATTAGTTAAGAATAATATACTCAAATTGTTTGTGTTGTTTGGTTTTTAAAACTTAAGTTCTAAGTATTAAATTAATGGAAATTTTTACCTACTTATAGTTAATAATTTAATTTTTTAGATTTTACCAACACAATCAATTGAAGCTGAAGGCGATACGTTGAGACCATTCCCCAATTATCTTCAACTTGATGAATTACCTGCCAAAGAAAATATTTCTTCTGAGGGTGCGTCTACAGCTGATGTATCCGAAGCTCATCCATCCAACTCAGTAAGTAAAAATTGTAATCAAAATTATGAAGTATACAATGGGAAGTTAAATGTATACACATTTAATCAAGTTAATATCAGATGATTATTTAAATAATCTTCAATACTTTAAACTATATATAATTACCTAAGACTTTAATTTAAAATTTAAACTTATGTAACTAATGAAAATGTTTGAAATTCCGATGAACTTTCTCATTTTGGATTATACTTTTGTAAATTAAAAATGTATACTTTCCAATAAATGATAATTCTGTTTATTTTTTTTCCTAGGAGTTATTAGATTTGCTCAATAGTGCAAACGAAGGTAGAGCTTTGCTGGCAACTTACCAACAGAGTGGACTCTTGGATAGTATTGGCCGCAAAAGATTGTGTAATATCATTATAAACAAAGAACTAAAAGATGATGTTCATAGGCGTGTTCCGACTTCTAGATTGCATGAATTAGCGTTTCAAATTGTTACCATATTCCCTAGAGAACATTCAGCCACTTATTTTATTCCATATATATCTTATGGTCCAGGATTAAAGAGGTCGGCAAAAGGAAAACTTCTTGATTGCCTGTATAACCGAAAGAGGGATTATCGGAAGTCTGGACTCATAAACTCATCTAGACGTAGTTCTACATCTTCATCATCTTCTGGTTATGCGTCTCCGATCACAGTACGTTTAGTAAATGAAAGAGAAGAAAATAACCCAATAACTGTTGAAGAAAATTTGAAGTGGTTACGTAATTCCAGTGATCCGTGGGATCTTGTTGAGAAACACTGGATTGCTACTACTAATACACGTTTAAAAAAACTTATGTCTAAAGATGGACAAACAATATCAGAATATATGGGCGAGTATCCATGTTTAAAGAAACCAACAGGCTATTTACTTGTATGTATGAAATATATTAAATTAAGGTATATGTATATGTATGTATTCAACTTGTAATATTTCAGATTTTAAAAGATTTTGATGTTACATATCCAGAATCAAGTGATAAATTATTTCAAAATTTACCATTATTAAAGAACAGGATTTTTGATTTGGCAAAAGAAAAAATTAAAAAATCCAAAGAGTTGACAACCAATGAGCTTTTAAAGGAATACATCCAGTTGGGAACTGAAGGTATGTATAGTAGCTATTAGTTGTATTACTATTAACCTATAAATAACCATCGGATACAAAATAATGTAAAAGTTGTACTCTGTAACTCTACAATAAATTAGGTTTTATTTAAACTCAAATTTAATATAATTTAATAAAAGTTGTACTAGTTTTATACTTAATAGTCATTTTGTATTCTTTTCAGAAAACGAAGAAGCTTTTATTGCAGCCTTTTTGTGTCTTCCTTTTCTTATTGGTGTCTCGATTACAAAAGGAAAAAGAACCAAAACCCAATGGAGGCCATCAAAAGTGGAAATGAGAGATGGATTTATTACTCATTTGTTCAGTAATGCTGAAATAGAAGAAACTATTTCCAGAAGAAGAGGGAAATTAGCAGGGTTTGGCAAAACTTTACAACCATTTATTATTATAGTTGGTCCACCTCTTAAAGAAATTTATACATACTTAGTTGTAGTTGATAATACTTTTTATCGTTTAAATTCAATAACAGCATCAGTTGATTGTTGTTTTAAAATCATTATTACACTTAACGCAGAATATCCTATAGAAAGTGAGGCTATTTGGAATTTTATTCAAAAAGGTCTATACAAATTGCATACACCTTTAGATAAAAATTTTACTACCGTCAATGCTTTTTTCTCTGATATGGGAATAACAATTTAATATATTTCATCATTGTATGTTTTGGAAGAAAATTGAAAATATTTCATTTTTGTTAATATTATTAAAATCTTAATTACCTACATAAGTCATTACTTTTTTTTCTCTTAATATATAAGTATCTTTGAACTTAAAATATGTTTACTTGTTTTATTTGTAAAAACACGTATCTTAGTGTTAAGATTCTTTTTTCACACTTCGATTTACAACATTCTAATCATAATTTTAATTGTTATCAATGTGCTGAAGGAGAATGTTCAAGATTATTTTACTTAAAAAATTCTTATTCAAAGCATTTATTAAGACATTCTACAGACATAATTCAACCTTCTACTGTACAGTTATCCTTTGAAAATAATCCCTCTGTAGAGTCTACAACTCCTACCAATATGAGTAGTCATAGTGAATTGTGTGTAGAAGTAGAACCATCCAAAATATTAAAGCAAACACTGTCTACATTTCTTTCATGTTTATATGCAAACCCCTTAATTCTCAGAAACACCATTCAAATTATTATTGATGGCATGGAAACTGTTCTTACTGAGGGTGTTGCTAGTTATATAAAAAATAGTGCTGAGAAAATGTTGTCAAGAGACCAAATTTCAGTTGAATGTTTTAGTTCCTTTATTAATATAGCAAATTATATAAAAAATGAGGCTTTAACAGATTTTAAAACTGAACATAAACGATTTTCTTATTTTACTAAGCAGGGAACTTACATTGAACCAAAAGAAATAGTAATTGGGCAGAGATTAAACAAAGTCATTAGAGGTGGCATGTCCATTTTAGAACCCTCTAACTGTACTCAACAATTTATACCACTACGAAATGTTCTAAAAAAATTTTTTTCAGTTGAAAATGTTGTCATAGAAACTTTAGAATATATAAAAACTTTAAAATCAGAACACGGGGTTTTAAGAAATTTTATTCAAGGTACTTATTGGAAAAGTAGAGTTGAAAATCACAATGAACGGATTGTATTACCACTTTTTATGTTTTTTGACGATTTTGAAATTGGCAATGCACTTGGGAGCCATTCTGGTATCCATAAATTAGGAGGTGTTTATGTGTCAGTGCCATGTCTTCCACCATATCGTTCAACAGTTTTATCTAATATTTTTATTGCCCTGCTTTTTCATTCATCAGACAGAGTCAAATTTGGCAATGCAATTATTTTTAAACCATTGATAGATGAATTAAATTTTTTGCAAAAACATGGAATTGAAATTGATACTCCAGAGTTCAAAGGAAAATTATATTTTGAGTTGGGGCTTATTTTGGGTGATAATTTAGGACTCCATTCTATCACTGGATTTACTGAAAGTTTCTCATCCAATTATTCGTGTAGGATTTGTACAATCAGGAAGGAAGATATGAGGGTTCAATGTTATGAGGATAATGCTTTATTGAGATTTACTGAACAGTATAATGTTCATTTGTTACAGAATGATGTATCCATCACAGGTATAAAAGATAAATGTGTTTGGTTTGATGTAAATAATTTCAGTTTATTTGACCAAGTAGGAGTTGATGTCATGCACGATATGCTTGAAGGTTGTTCTAAATACATCATGAAGTTTATTTTACTTTATTATACTAAGGAGTTAAAACTTTTTACTTTACAAGTATTGAATGATAGAATTTATGGTTTTGATTTTGGGCCTGAAAATAATAAACCTTGCTCACTTACTTTAGACAACATTAATCAAGGGAATATTAGGCAATCCGCTTCGGAGATGTTGACATTAATTAGATATTTTGGTTTACTGGTTGGTGACTTTATACCACCAGAAGAACCAGTTTGGGAACTTTATATAGTTATGCGTAGAGTTATAGATATTTTAATATCAACATCACTGACGATAGATAGTTGTTCAATGTTACAAACCTTAGTAGCAGAAATGAATGAACTCTATTTAAAGTACAGTAATAGTCATCTCAAACCAAAATTTCATTTTTTAACACATTATCACTCCATGATCAGAAAATTTGGTCCTGTCATAAATTTTTGGTCCATGAGATACGAAGCAAAACATAGGATTTCAAAAATTTCTGCTAGATCATCATTCAATAGAAGAAATATTTGCATGACTTTGGCAATAAGGCACCAACTTCAATTAAATGAAATGTTTACTAAAGGTAAATTAAATAAATCAGTTATTGTAGGACCTCAAAAAGAAATAGATTCCATTAAAGCCAGTCTAATTCAAAATGAACTAAATCTTGATAACATTGAAACATTAATAAGAGTTAAATGGGCTGAAGTGAAGGGGACACGTTATAAACTAAAAACTATTTTGACGTTAGATATTATGAAGGATAACCCAACTTTTGTTATTGTAAAAGATATTTTTCTTTATGGACCGAATAGGGTAGTTTTTGAGTGCAGTAAATTTACAACGATTGGTTTTGATGAACATGTTTTTTGTTATGAAGTAACATCACCAGAAATAAATGATTTATGTTATATATTCCAAGATTTATTGATATCACCTATTCCTAATACTATAAATATTGTATCAAATGGAATGTATTTTATAACTGTAAGAAGTCCTTTATAAATAATTACCTAAGTATCAATTGTAATTATTTTGTATATTTTTAATATTGTATATGTGCATTGAATATTTTTTTTTTATATATTATGATGTAAAATAATTATAATAAACATGTTTATTTAATTTGTGTCAATGAATAAAAAAAAAATATTAATTTGAAAACTGCGTTTCCTTAAATTTTATTTAACCACAAACCAAGTTGTATTAACTGAATAGTAATATTGTAACAACTAAGTAATTTTGTTACAATAACTATCAGATACACAATTTCAACGAGTGAGTTTTGTTGTACGATCTAAATAATTTGTAGTACATACAATTGAATATGTAAAGTCAAAAAAAAATATTTCTGCTTTACTTAAGTGTTCTGTTAAACCCGCACAGTGTTTTGTTGATTTTTCAAAATAACTTAGTAGTAGTAACTGAACATTTTGTAAATGTCATACTGAGTTCACCCATAAATAAACATACTTTCTGTTGTCAATACTGATCACATTCAGTTTTAATAACAGAACAAATTTGTTGTTACTACAACTTCTGATTAACAGGAATGAATTAGTAAGCATAACCATACATATTGCTGTCCCTGAGCCAACAGGAATTCACAGTTATTATTACTACATTTTGTTTATCTTAACAGAATATTTTTTTCAGTGCCTTTTCCCAAAATATAACTGTTTCTTTTATAACTAATTTCGCACTATAACGTAAATTTAATTTAATTTCCCGTAAATTATAAAACAATACAGAAATAACTTGTCTGTTAGAAGGTAGCTTACTTCCGATTATTTGATTTTGAACTGATCCAATTAAATATTATATATTATTATAACCACGAAGTGCAGTTTTAGTTGCCGATGATGAAGTAGACATTTTGAAATTTAATAATAATATTAAATTATTTAACACGAGCACGTTTTACGAGTATGAATATACAAGTCACATTAAACACTGAGCAGTGAAAACTTAGGTATAAACGGTTGTAACAAGCTAACATAAAAGTGTGTAATCAATAATCATAAACCATAATTTAGTATTGTAAAAAGCAATAACAACTACATAATAATAATAGTTATAAAAATAATTGGATAACACAGCGTAAATTTAGATTATAAAAGAACCTCATTTCTTACTATTCTTATTTATCTACATTTCTAACTTTATCAAATATTACATTCATTAGGTGTACAATTATATAACTTATGAGTTCTATAATATATTAACTTAAATACCATTAGTATAAAACTATTGAGTAAACATATTATAACATATTATTGGATTATACTCAAAAAAACGACATAATATCAACACTGTTTTTCAATTTTTCAACCCTCTTGTGGCACGTGAAAGGGGTGAGTGATCTTGACTAAATTTAACTCGAATTACTTTTGTATAATAATAAACAATGTGAGGGGGTGAGAAATCAAAAATATTAATTTTTTTTTTCATCTATTACTAAGGGCCACCCTATTGGCTATTGTAGGTACCTAATGCGTACGTAATTATGCATATCGGACCACCCACACTCCAAAATATGGTCCGTTTTCATTATTTGTCTCGTGTTTTATTCTAAGTCTTAATATTATATATTACAATTGTAAACATGATTGTTTTAACTTTAAAATTAATTTATCTCTAACATAGTTAAAAAAAAGCGTGTAGTCTATAAAATCTAAAGTATTCTTAATCACAAATGTTTTCGAACATTTTTTAAATCTTTCAATTTCAAATAAACCATCATCAGAAGACATCATCCGCTGACGTTTTGTAACCGTTTTTCTTTTCATTGTAAAACTGAAAATAGATTAAATAAAAACATGGGTATAAGCAATAACAATAATATTGTAATAATTTATTATATTTTAATTTATTATATTAAACAACATTGAATATACGTATATATATATATCTTATATATAAAAATGAATCGCAAAATGTGTTGGTAAGCGCATAACTCAACAACGCCTGGACCGATTTGGCTGAAATTTTTTTTAACTGTTCTGAATTGCCAGGAGAAGGTTTTTATGAACGAACATTTTTAAAAAGTCTACCGAATAAGTAGAAAAAGTGCAAAAAATATTTATTGATGTCTGTGCTTTGAACCCGATACCGTTAAAATATAAAAAATAAATTAAAACTATAATATTTTTTTGTTGCCATGGAAATGTTATAGACAATATTTATTCAATTTAATTGTTTGAATAAAATATAAAAAAAAATTACTGGGAAGACCTTAAAAAAATTTGTATTAAAAAAACATAATAATTTAATTTTGATATGCCTCCTATACGACGAAGCAATTTAGGTAGAATAACCCGAAATGCTACCAACCAAGCTAATTACCGATCTAACCAAAGTCCACAAGAACGTGACGACAGAAATGAACGTGAAAGAATTCGGATATCACAAACGCGTGAAGTGCGAACGCGAAATTCAACTAATAATCGCGCAAACTTGAATCGAGCTGCTTTTAGTTACGATGTGTCAATTGACTACAGTAACTACCAGTGTGTTGTTATTGGTTCTATGAACTCAGTTTGCTCATATTGTAATGCTTTGAAATACAAAAACGAGGCCAATGGTTTGTGTTGCGAAAATGGTAAAGTGATATTGATACCATTGGATCCACCACCAGAGCCGTTGTACTCATTGGTTTCAGGAATAGGAACAGATTCTATACACTTTTTGACAAATATCCAACAATATAACAATTGCTTTCAAATGACTTCATTTGGGGCAACAAATGTAGTTCGTGAAAGTTTTATGCCAACTTTCAAGGTATGTATTATAGCAGTTAATCATAATTATTTGTTAATAATTTTTATATTATAGATTCAGTTTTAGTGACACCTTAATTATTTTGAAACACAATATAATTATTTGATGATTTAAATATTCATTGGTTTTAATTTTTTTATTCGATTCGTCTCGAAATGTACATTAAATTGTATTTATTCAATTTTGTTACAACTAAATTTTACATATTGAGGTACATAATCATATTAAATATCATTTTGTCATTCAAATTAGGAGACAGATATAATTTTTAAGAACAAATATTATTTAAGTTTGAACACTGACAATCCATAAATTTATATAACATAGTTGCTTATTTATTTTATTTTATTTTATAGTGTTTGGTACAAACATAATATTTTTTTTAATTTACAGATGCAAGGACAAATGTATCATAGATCAGGTTCACTATTACCAGTGTCAGATAGCAACTACAAATTCTTACAAATTTATTTTATGGGCAATTCAACACAAGAAATTGATATGTGTTGTGCAAACAACAATTTAGTAAAGAGGTATATTGTAGAACAATTACAAACTTTATTTCATGAACACAATCAATTGATTATATTGTTTAAAACTGCACTGGGTATGATGCCATCTGATAATTACAAAATTGTAATCAAAGCTGATAAAACACCTGCGGGTCAACATGCAAGACGTTTTAATGCACCAACCATTGATGAAGTTGCTGTCATTGTAGTTGGAGAAAACTTGGAATCCCGTGATATTGTTTTACATCGTCGGAATGATCGATTACAACGTATAAATGAAACACACCGCTCATATGATGCACTATAATATCCTATTATATTTTGGCAAGGAGAAGATGGCTATGATTTCTCAATAAAAATGATAAATCCAATTACAGGTAATTAAAATATTAGTTTAGCGATGGCGGTAATATATCAGTAACCATATTATGTATTTTAATTTTATATTTAAATGTTGTAAAAACAAAATATATTTACAGGTTCTGAAACAAACAAAAAAGTCAGTTCAATGAACTATTATTCATACCGCCTAATGATTCGGGAAAATGAAGACAATCACATATTGAAATGTCGGCGATTATATCACAAATATGTTGTTGACATGTATGTTAAAATTGAAACGGAGAGATTAACATTCATCAGGTTGAATCAGACCAAACTACGATCTGAAGAGTATATTCACCTTCGAGATGCGATTAATACCGATGGAAATGCACAGAATGTTGGTCGGATGATTATTCTTCCAGCAACATACATCGGAAGCCCTAGACATATGCACGAATATGCTCAAGATGCCATGTCGTATGTTCGTCATTATGGTACAGCAGATTTGTTCATCACATTTACATGCTATCCGCAATGGATAGAAATCAAGCAGGAGTTATTCCCTGGGCAATCACCCATTGATCGTCATGGCATTACAGCCAGAGTCTGTAGACAAAAGTTGAAATCTTTAATGGATTTCATCGTGAAACATTATGTGTTTGGTGAGACACCACGCTGCTGGATGTATTCTGTGGAGTGGCAGAAACGAGGGTTGCCACATGCACACATTTTGATTTGGTTGGTTGAAAAGATAAGGCCAAATGAAGCTGATGCAGTGATATCAGCTGAAATACCTAATGTACAATTAGATCCTGAATTGCATGAGGTTGTTATCAAAAACCTGATACATGGTCCATGTGGTACTCTTAATCAAAATTCACCGTGTATGATGGATGGTAAATGTTCAAAACGATATCCAAGGACGTTAATATCAGAAACAATTACTGTCAATGATGGTTATCCACTGTAACGTCGCCGATCAAGAGTAGACAATGGAAGAACATCAATTGTCAAATTAAATCAACAAGATATTGAAATAGATAATCGTTGGATTGTTCCATATTCACCAATTTTATCAAAGACGTTCAAAGCACACATAAACGTTGAATCTTGCCATTCAGTGAAATCTATTAAATACATTTGCAAATATGTAACCAAAGGGAGTGATATGGCTGTGATTGGAATTGGTGCAGAGAATTGCAATGATGAAGTTACCCAATACCAAATGGGCCGCTATGTTGGTAGTAATGAAGCAGTTTGGCGAATATTTTCTTTTCCCATTCATGAGAGACACCCTTCAGTTGTTCATTTAGCTGTGCATTTAGAAAATGGACAAAGAGTGTATTTTACACCACAGAACGCAGTACAAAGAGCAGCTCAGCCACCTTCTACTACATTAACCAGTTTCTTTGAGACATGCCAAAACGATGATTTTGCACAAACATTGTTGTATTCTGAAATGCTAAAATATTATACTTGGAATAAATCCTCAAGGAAATGTATACGACAGAAACAAGGAAAACCAATTCAAGAATACCCAGATGTATATTCCACCGATGTGATTGGTCGAATTTATTCAGTACATCCCAGCAATGATGAATGTTTTTATTTACGTCTGCTATTAGTCAATATACGTGGCCCAACATCATTCCAACATTTACGAACTGTTGATGGTGAATTGTGTGGATCCTAAAGAGAAGCCTGTCAACGTTTGCAATTGCTAGAAAATGACGATCATTGGGATCAAACTCTAAATGATGCTGTAATATCATCAAGTGCTCAACAAATACGAACATTGTTTTCTATAATCATATGTACATGCTACCCATCAAAGCCAATCGATTTGTGGATCAAGTACAAGGATCATATGTGTGATGATATTTTGTATCAAATACGGAATAGAATGGGAAATCTAAATATACAAATCAATGAAGAAATTTTTAACGAAGCATTGATTTCAATTGAGGACATGTGCTTGATGATGTCAAACAAACTATTAATTCAATTAGGCCTGATCGCGCCCAATCGTCCAATGCATGATGTTTTTAACAAAGAGGTGCACCGAGAAAAAACGTATGATCTCAACACTTTGAAAGAATTAATTCAAAAAAATCTTCCACTGTTGAATGAACAACAGAAGTATGTATTTGATACTCTTATGAAAGTAACAAATGATGATACTGGAGGGATATATTTCTTGGATGCACCCGGTGGTACAGGAAAAACTTTTTTTATTTCATTAATATTAGCAACAATTCGTTCACAAAATAAAATTGCACTTGCACTCGCTTCCTCGGGAATCGCAGCAACTTTGCTTGAAGGTGGTCGAACAGCCCATTCAGCACTAAAATTGCCATTAAATATGCAAAGCAATGAATTTCAAAGCTGCAACATTTCGAAGAAATCTGCAATGGCAAAAGTTTTGCAGGAATGTCAATTGATTGTTTGGGATGAATGCACGATGGCACATAAAAAATCGTTGGAGGCTTTAGACAGAACCTTAAAAGATATACGGGGCAATCATAACCTATTTGGCGGTGCAATGATTTTATTAGCAGGAGATTTTCGGCAAACATTGCCAGTGATTCCACGATCAACGCCAGCTGATGAACTTAATTCATGTATAAAATCATCCAATTTGTGGAAACATGTCAAAATACTTCATTTAAGCAAGAATATGCGTGTCGAGTTGCAAAACGATCAATCTGGAAATGGCAAATTTCATGTAGACATGTTGACCGGCTGCATTAACTTTCCTCGAAGTTTTTGTCAGTTAACTCGATCAAAAGATGAACTTATTCAAAAGGTGTATCCAGATATTGCTCGCAATTACAGAAACCATGATTGGTTGAGCGAACGAGCTATATTGGCTGCAAAAAACATAATGTAAATGAATTAAATTTAAAAATTCAAGAACAAATTACAGGTGAATCGAGGATATATAAATCAGTTGATTCGGCAACTAACCAAGATGATGTAGTCAACTATCCACCGGAATTTTTAAATTCGCTGGATTTACCAGGATTGCCACCTCACAATCATCAACCAACCGCGTCTGTGCAATGGCACACGGTTAGCGATAAAAAAATTACTGAACAACGTGATAGAAGCAACTATACTGAAAGGAAAGTTTAAAGAAGAGGATGTTCTCATACCGTGCATCCCAATGATTCCGACTGATGTGCCATTTGAGTTTAAACGCCCACAGTTTCCAGTGCGGCTTGCTTTTGCTATGACCATAAACAAGTCCCAGGGGCAATCATTAAGTGTTTTTGGTATTAATTTGGAAAACCCATGTTTCTCACATTGCCATGAACATTTGTATATTAAATTATTGAAGTAGTGGTAAAATCTGTGTATAAAATACTGAGGGAATTCAATAATATTCACCAGTCTTCAAGATTTCATACCAGGACAAGCAGCTCAGTTCAACAGAGATACTACCAAAAAAGATGTCGTACCGTACAATGGCTTCAACTGATTCAGAGGTTAGTAACTACTTAGTAAATATCTTATAACCAAAGCAAATTGGAGGTCAGACGTGACACTACTCAACGCTATGGTTATTATTTTTAAAATAATATTTAATGTCTGGTTATAACATAGTTTAAAAAAACTATATAGTAACTAAAAACATATTGGATACATTACTCAACGCTTTGGTTATAATTCTTAGAAAATATATAATGAAAAAAACAGAAAAAAAATAATACAATATGTCTTATGTTTCATAGAATGAACATTTCAGTGAATCAATTGATATGAGACCATCATTTTCAAAACCTGGTTCAAAACGTGCTGCAGAAAAAACAAGTGCGAAAAAACCTATGAAAAAAAGCAGAATAAAATGGTAATATAAGTTATATATTTTTTTTATAATGATAGCATAAATAATTTAATTTTTTTATAGAGTGCGTCATACAGAGATAATGTTACCGAACGTTTGAGATCAGAAGAATTTGATGCCGAGGTATTTAATTCACTGACATTTAGACAAGGGGATGGAATTGTAACAATAAAGACGCCTTTTGAAGAAAAAGGAAAGGAGCTTTGGGTAATTAGCCACTATAAGGTTGCTAACATTGAGAATGTACCAGTAAAAGACAGGTAAATACATGGGTTTAAATTTAAAAAAAACATATTGATGAATTTGTTTTTTATTCATTGATTTTATTTACTTCTTTTGTTTTTAAAATAAAATAATTTGTAGATGGAAGTTCAGTGAAGCTACTGTCAGATTGTACACGAGCGACGAATCAAAAGATCAAACGCTTCATACTAACCTTAATGAGACAATGCAAACTATATTTGATAAATTACTAACCGATCCTAAGCGTCAGACAATTAAAAGCAAGAAGACTGTTTGATTATTATATGAAAAATGAGTTTCATGTAATAAACAAGATATTATTATACATGTATGTTTTTATTTATTCAAAACTTAAAGGTTTTGGAAAACATAAACTTATAAACTATGGCTGGTTGGAAAAATTTAAAAATTTAAAAATTATAGTAATTTAAAATACTAACAAATTGAATCTACTTTTAAAACATAATATTAAAACTATTACTCATTAAAACTATTATTTATGATTTAAGGTGGCAAAAAAAGCAAGTTTATTATTGAATAAAAAAAGTTTTATTAAATAAAAAACAATAATTAAACAAATTTATATATTTTATAATATTAGATCTTGCAAAATCATATCGGACAATGTGTTAAAATGGAATTGTAATATTTCATATAGAAATGATGTGTCATCGTTCTGTAGGTGATTATAATAATTAAAATCATAGTTTCGAATATATTGGTTGGTAAATTCGTTCCTCTGACAGGTGGACGGTAGACCAAGGACATCATTTTTAATTAGGTCATATGCAGTGTTGAAAGTAATTTGATAATTTGCTAAACGTTTTTGCTTGTCTACTACATATAAATCTATCAAATTTTGTAATTGTCGAAGTCGGTACAAATCTAAATGTGACAAGGTAATGTATTCCTCATTTAGATGTAGGGTAATTAAACTCTGTTTAACATTGGTTGAATATGAAAAGGAATCGGTGATTTTTACACGCCTCACCCTAGTATTTAAATTATTAATAATCGAATTGTAATTAGGTTCAGACATCAGTGTAAACCATTCTTCTAAACTTAATGTGATAATTTTCTTTGTAAGTTTACATTCCAATTATAAAATAATGGAAATCTGCTTGTTAATTAGTAATCCAACTGTAATACTTTTCTTGTTAAAAGCCCGGATGTCGAATGTAGACTTACAGACAATTATTGGTGAACTCATAGTGAAGTTATTTTTATCAAATTCAAAAAAAATCTTTTTTCATAAATAAGAAGTGGGATATAACTGTTAGGAGTTATACATTGAACTGTTAGTTTGTTCCCTTTGCAGTCATATTATATACTAAAAAACTCTTTGGAAAAAATGCAAAAAATGTAAACATACAGATAGCCAATGAGTGCGTACAAGAGAGGGAATTTACATATACTTACTAACCTGTTACCTGAAAAACATTTTAAATTATTTTATACGCACTAATTCGCTAGGACTGTATGTCCACGAGATATTAAATCGAATATTAACACATTTAAGATAAAAAATTTAATTTTGTTTTATTTTTTTTTATCCAATACAGCAAATATTATAAGCAGCATAAATAAATATATGTATATATAAACATTTAAAAAAAAAACATGATTTAACAAATGGTGTCGTACGAACTGTTTTCACAATTACAAATAACTTCGGTTTTACAATATTTACTTAAGACTTTTTGAACAAACTGATTTCCTTTCATTAACAATACAAATAAACATCTAGGTGAGAATCGAGTATGTTCTATACAACAATTACATAACAATTTCAAAACTATGTAGAATTATTCCACACCAATGACATTGAACTTCATCGTCGAGATCGATATAGTAAAATCCACATTCCGAGAGTTTGTACT